TTCCTGTCTTTAGTCTTTGAGGCAACCACTATCTCTAGTGCCTCTTGATATCCTTTTCTCTTCTCCTGGAGTCCTTATTTAATGCTATTTTTTCAGCCCCACCCCCATCCATCTCTCCCATCTCCCCCCCCCATAGTATTTTATTTTTTACAATTATAGTAAAGATAGTTTTCAACATTTGTTTTTTATAGTATTTTGAATTCCAAATTTTCTCCCTCCCCTCCCTTTCTTTTCCCCTCCCCAAGATGGCAAGCAATCAGATATAAGTTATAGAATCATATTAAACATATTTCCTCTCCCATATCTTTAAGAATCCCAGGACAGATAAAGCTGAGTCTTGAACAGTCAGACTACTTTCAAGGGCCACCTGATATGGAGACAATTTTCTGAGTGCCAGTAACAAATGACTTTGTCCCTCCCAATTATATCAAAGAAAACTTGTTCTTCCTTAGTAAAGGGATTACTAGGAGTGGCTGGATCTTTAATGCTATTTCACATGTCATTATTGGCCTCTTACTTTCTTTTTTTTAATAATACTTTATATTTTCCAATTACATATAAAGATAATTTTTGACATTCATTTTTTATAAAATTTTGAGTTCCAAATTTTCTTCCTGCTTCCCTCCTCTGCCCCCTCTTTAAGGACAGTTAATAATTTGATATAGGTTATATATGTGATATAGGTATATATTTGATATAGGTTATATCAAATATATATATATATATATCATGTAAAACATTTCCATATTAGTCATATTGATGAGGGGCAGGTTGAGTTGTGGCAGGACATCTCTAAAGAATTCGAAGACTCAGGCCAACTCCAAACCAATGAAAAAGATTTATTATAGTTTTGAGGTTTCATGCTCTGATGAGTGGCTGAATTTCTTAGAGGGATTAGTAACTTCAGTAAGGTAAAACAGACAATTTATGTGATGCTGATTACATAATAAAAATTTGCATAGACTATAGGAATATGATGAATATTAAAAAGGCAGGAGGGGTTTGTTAAGAGATTAGGTAATAAGGGAGGGGTCCCAGCTCTGTGGAACTGCACTTACACTTACTCACAGTGGGTACAGAAAAACCCAAATGGGAAGGGAGGAGGAGCATGTAAGTGTGATAATGATATTATAACAAACCTCTCTACATCATAAATTCACTTTTGGTCAGTTCTTTACTATTACTTCGAAGATGCTATTTGAGGGTGGGCCCCTTCTATGGTTTGGTGGTCAAATATCCTGTTCTGCATCCTGTTGGTGCTGCTTTCTGATTGGCTAGCTATTGTGGTCCTGTCTGATCAAGATGGATGATGCGGTTGAGGTTGAGTGCATGGTCACACTTGTTTCTGTGGGAAATATGTGAATTGGATCTGGGGACAGAGGCTAGCTAGAGGATTGAGTCTGGGGGCGATGGCTAGCTAGGCACAGTAGCTAGCTAGAGGCAGTGTCTATATTGAGTCTGGGGGCAGTGGCTAGCTAGGGGCAGTGGGTCTGCCTATGATTGAGTTTGGGGGCTTGTGATGTGGTTAAGGCCAGATTGGGTGGTCAAATCAGGCCAGGCCTGCTGTTCAGTGGGGCCCATAAGGATGTTAGAATGTTGGGGCTGGGGGCAGCTCTATTAGGATTCCATCAATGTTGTGAAAGAAGAAACAGAAGAAAAGGAAAAAAACCATGAAAAAATAAAGTGAAAATAGTATGCTTCAATTTGTATTCAGACTCCATCAGCTCTTTCTCTGGATGTGGATAGAATTTTCCATCATTAGTCTTTTGGAATTGTCTTGGATCATTGCATTGCTGAGAAGAGCTAAGGCATTCATAGTTGATCATCACACAATGTTGCTGTTACTGTGCACAATGTTTTCCTGGATCTGCTCACTTCCCTTTGCATCAGTTCATATAAGTCCATCCATGTTTTTCTCAAATCCACCTGCTCCTCATTTCTTATAACACAATAGTATTCCATTACATTTATATACCACATCTTGTTCAGCCATTCCCCAGTTGATGGCCATTCCCTTGATTTCCAAATTTTTTTTGCCACCACAAAAAGAGCTGGTATAAGTATTTTTGTATATGTAAGTCCTTTTCCTTTTTCTTTGATCTCTTTGGGATATAGATCTAGTAGCAGTATAGCTAAATCAAAGGGAATGCACAGTCTGATTGCCATAGTTCCACATTGCTCTCTAGAGTAGTTGGATCAGTTCACATTTCTACCAACAGCGCATTAGTGTCCCAATTTTCCCACATCCTCTCCAACATATATAATTTTCCTTTTCTGTTATATTAGACAATTTGATAGATGTGAGGTGGTCCCTCAGAGTTATTTTAATTTTCATTTCTCTAATCAGTAGTGATTTAGAGCATTTCTTTATATGACTATAGATAGCTTTGATTTCTTCATCTGAAAACTGTTCATATCCTTTGACCATTTATTAATTGCAGAATGCCTTGTATTCTTAAAAAGTTGACTCAGTTTTCTATATGTTTGAGAAATGATGGTTCCTCACTTTCTGTGATTAGATCCTAGGGTTGGTCTCCAACTTTCCGGCAGTTAGTCAACAAAAATTTATTAAGTACCTTACCACGTGTCAGCATTGTGCTAAGTACCAGACAGTATATTGAAAGGATACAAGATATATACAAGTAAGCAAGGCAAATACAAAGTATGTCTGTAGAAAACAATATAAAGTAATTATTTGGATGGAAGTCAAAAGAAAAAAATGATAAACATCCTCTGCTTTCAAGAAATTTACATCCTAATATAAATTAGACTCAGGGGGATGCTGGTAAATGTTTAACAACCAACTCTCTGGAAAACTGTGAGCTTGACACAGCTTTCTTTCTTTTTTTTATTCAAATAATATTTTATTTTTCCCCCAATTACATGTAAAAACAATTTTAGGCATTTTATATTTTTTAAGTTTTGAATTCCAAATTCTATGTTTCTCTCCCTCCCCTCTCTCCTCCGTGAGACGGGAGGCAATCTGATATAGGTTATACATGTGCAATCATGTAAAACATATTTCCATATTAGTTATTTTGTGGGAAAAAACCTCGAACCACAAAAAGAAACGAAAGAAGGAAAGAAAGCAAAAAATAGTATGCTTCAGTCTTTATCAGATGCCATCAGTTCTTTTTCTCAAAAGGATAGCATTTTTCATCTTGAGTTCTTTGGGGATTCCATGACACATTTTCCAGTCTAATTTGTATTATTGTTATCTTCATCAGTTTTTTAAAGTCTGGAAATCAACAAAACAGTAAAGTTCTGATTCGTTGCAACTGCAGATTTCCGAGGTGTAAATGCTCACACAGAAAATTTGAAGTGGTTCCCAACGAGCTTGCTCCAATACCTCACTGTTGAAATTATAAGTATATACTTGAAAATTTAAGGGGGGAGAAGTCAGAAACAGCCAGGGGGAATCAGAAAAGGTAGGAGGCAGCATCTGAACAGAGTCAAATTAAGGATTATAAAAGTCGGAGCTGAACAGGCAGTGCAATCCAGGTATGCGAGATAAATTTTTTTGATTGCCCATGCAAAGGCACTCAGGACTAGAAATGGGATCCCGAGTCTGGGAAACAGGAAATACACCAATTGGGCTGGACCCTAAGTGCAGTAAGTTTGCAACGTGGTGGTTATGAAGGATTTTTCTATATTCCACGCCCAATCCTAGAGTTAGTAGGGAGCCCCCGAAGGTTCGTAAACAAAGAGGCAACATTTTAAGAAGGACTTATACAGGGGAGTGTTCAAAAGGTGTCAGGGGTTAGTGAAAGGACTGCAGTCCCAGTCACACAAAGCTGAGTTCAAGCAACTGGGGGATATTTAGAATGGCAAAGAAAAGGCTGGGGCAGGATGGGGGAGAAAAGCGAGTGGAAGGGAGAGGACAGGAGAGGCTGTTGCCTGCACGTATTTGAAGGACTGTGGTATCAAAGAGGAATTAGCTTGTTCTGCTTGGCCCCAGAGGGCAGAACTAGACCAGTGAGTGGAAATTATGGAGAGGCAGATTTACCTCCCGTTTTAGGAAAAACTTCCCAGCAAATAGAGCCATGCAAAAGAAGAACTGTTTTGCCTCTGGAGGTGTATATAAATATATATGTATCTGTATGTATGTATTTTGTTGTTCAGCCGTGTCTGACTCTTTGTGACCCCATTTGGGGTTTTCTTGATAAAGATCCTGGAGTGGTTTGCCATTTCCTTCTTGAGCTCATTTTACAGATGAGGAAACTGAGGCAAACAGGGTTAAGTGACTTGCTCGGGGTCACACAGATAAGTATCTGAGGCTAGATTACATGCATATATACACACACACACATATACACACGTAAATATGCACGTAATACATAGTCTTTAAGCAAAGACTGGGTGACCACTTGGTAACACTAAAAAGGAGACCCTTGTTCGGCTACAGATTGGACTGAACGATAACAGTTCCTGGCCGATCATGGACTCCTTCCTAGGACAGTCACTGCCACTGATAGCTTCGCGTCTCGCTTCTCCATCCCTCCTTGCTCCTCTGTGAGAGGCTCAGCTTCCAGGCTCCCCAGGACAACCAAACTTTGTCAGCGCCCACCTTTTCGCTGCCAATAAAGTTTGTTGAAAGCTCGGCTTGCCTTCGGGGGTGGGGCAGGGGCTGGGGGGTGGCGGAGGCGAGGACTCTCCCATAGTGCCCCGCGGTGGGCGGGTTTGGATTTTAAATCGCTCCAGCCAATCGGTGGCGCGGACCGCTCGGTAACGTTCCCGGCGCTGGGTTTGAATTCTGGGCTATTTGCACTGACCCTGCAGCCGCGCCGCTTGGGGCTGGGCAGAGCGGAGGCGAGCCGAGCCGAGCCCGAGCCAGAACCGAGCCAGAACCGAGCCGAGCCGGAACCGCTGCACCGCACCCGGGCAGGTCCAGCCAGGAGAGAAGCAGCAGCAGCAGCAGCAGGAGGAGGAGAACGGAGCGGCAGCCGGCAGAGCAGGGAGAGGAGCCTGGGCCGGCTGGGGACGGCGGCGGCGGCGGCACCATGAGCGCAGCGCCCGCGAAGCTGCCTCTGCGGCAGCCCGGCGTGGGCTCCTCGGAGCCCCGGGGTAAGCCCGCCGTCGGCGGCGGCGGGGCCGGAACCGGAGCCGGAGCCGGCGGCGGCACCACGACCGTCCCCCCTGCGGCCGCCCCGGAGATCCCCGAGGTGCTGGTGGACCCGCGCAGCCGGCGGCGCTACTTGCGGGGCCGTTTCCTGGGCAAGGGCGGCTTCGCCAAGTGCTTTGAGCTCTCGGACCTGGAGAGCAAGGAGGTGTTCGCGGGCAAGATCGTGCCCAAGTCGCTGCTGCTGAAGCCGCACCAGAAGGAGAAGATGTCCATGGAGATCAACATCCACAAGAGCCTGGTCCACCAGCACGTCGTCGGCTTCCACGGCTTCTTCGAGGACAGCGACTTCGTCTTCGTGGTGCTGGAGCTGTGCCGGAGGCGGGTGAGCACCCGCGGAGCTGGGGGACCGGGGTTGGGGGGGACGTTGGTGCCCCGGGGTTGCCATCAGAGGGGTGGAGGGCCTGCAGGAAGGAGGAGGGGTGGGGGTGGGGCGTGCTTTCTTTCCGATCTCCCCACCAAGCGGTCACCATAGAACCAGCGTGGGCACTTAGTGAGAGCCCAGGGGGTTGGGGCCCGGCTGAGGGAAACCCAGACACTAACCCAGAGTTCCATCTTGGCCTCGAGTTCTCAAGTTCAAGGCCGCAATGGGTGTCTGAATCTTCCAAGAGCCTTCAAGGCCTCGGGGCCTTGGGGCAAGGGGGCCACCTGGGAGTTCTTTCCTAAGCAGGATTTGGGTGGAGTGGCTCCCTGCCTGCTCCCTCCCCCAAAGGTTTGATCCGCATGACCCCCTCCCCCGAAAGAGACTTAGCCCCTGTCTCTTCTCCCTGCCTCCCACAGTCCCTGCTGGAGCTACATAAAAGAAGGAAAGCAGTGACGGAGCCTGAGGCCAGGTATTACCTCCGCCAGATTGTCCTAGGCTGTCAGTATCTCCACGAAAATAAAGTTATTCACAGAGACCTCAAGTTGGGTAACCTCTTCCTCAATGATGACATGGAGGTGAAGATAGGTAAGACTGAGAAACCTCTAACCAGGGATTTTGTACAGCAAGAACAACAGTTTTATAGGTTTCTGTTTAGCTTTGCTGTTAAGTACCTCCTTTTGGCTAAAGTAAGTAGCTATGTTTAAATGCACCACCTTGTGGAAGAGAGATATAGATTGGGGAAGATTTGGTCCTAAAATGCTTGCAAAATGGTCGTTTGTCCAGAATCATATTTCCCCTGCACAGCTCCATGATTTTAAGAAAAAGAGGATAGGGGTAGGTAATGGGAGGTGAGGGCAGCTGCAGGTTAGTAGCTAAAAGGATACTGTAGGAACAATCAACAAACCGTGCTTTTCTTTGTTTCTCCTGTACAATAGAACTGGGGAGCCAGGGGGAAAAAAGACGTGGTCCTGGGTTTACTGTGGAAATCAAAAGGAAATCTGGATCTTATTTCAAAAAAATTTGGAGACAGGCACCTATTATTCAAGGGAGGATTTAACTCCCCCCCCCCCCCCCCCCCCACACACACACAGTGGGAGTGAGGCAGGGGAGGTAATTCTCTCTCACAGGCTTTAGATTGCCCTAGTCTGGGGTGATGGGATAGAAAAAATTATATTTTATATTGGAGACCACAGTGGGGCCAATTTTGTTGAAAGGGCCCCTGGCTGCTAGGTGCCAGAAGTGGGCATCAGTAACAACCTAAATGGGACTATGGGTCAAACCAATCTGGATTCCTGGAAAGAAGAATGATTTGCTTCCTAACTCTTATTACAGGGGACTTTGGATTAGCAACCAGAGTAGAATATGATGGTGAGCGGAAGAGGACCCTCTGCGGAACACCCAACTACATAGCCCCTGAGGTGCTGAGTAAGAAGGGCCACAGCTTTGAGGTGGATGTCTGGTCCATTGGGTGTATCATGTGAGTAGTGGCTTTACTCGGGTCTTTATCAGGAGCCCGAGAGACTAGAATGACCAAGGAAATCCTCCCTTTAAGAATAGGCAAGAACTGGCCTTCCTTTTTTAGCTCTTTGTTATCCTAAGGACTATTTTGTCTCATGGAAGAGAAGAATAGAAGGAAAGATGATCCAGGAAAGATGGGATTCCAGTGACAGTGAGACATTCAAGAACCCTGGGCTTTGGGGACAATGAGGAGGTGGGCAGGACAGATGGTAGGATTGACTGTTGCTTTTAGGTGATTGTGGCAATCCGGGAAAAGATCCTTAGAGAGAAGGAGAAATGGAAGCTTGTTTCTCCACAGGCATCCCACCGAGAACCTCTCTCAACCAGTACCTGGTTCCCTTCCCTTTGCTGTTGGCTTGGCTTCAGGACCTGAAGGATATCTTTCTGGATCATTCGGTCTTCACGTTTGCTTGCAAAAATTGGCTTCACAAGTACAAAATGATGGAGGCATGGTTCCAAACTTTGTTTGAAAAAGCTCTCTCAGTATCTTAGTAGGTTGCAAGCTTGATATTAGTCACCAGTGTAATATGCAGCCAAAACTAATGCTATCTTGAGCCACATTTAGAGGCAACAATTCCAGTCAATCAGTAAGGAAGAAGGAGGGAATCTTGCAATACTCAGACTCCATCTGGAGTATTGTGTTTAGTTCTGGACAAAACCATTTAGAAATGACATTATTAATAAGCTGGAGGATATCCAGGGGAAGACAACTTAGGTGGTGAAATGAAAGACCTTGAGTCCATGTAATTTGAGGATCATTTGGAACAATGGGGTGTGTTTAGCCTGGGGAAGAGAAGGGGAGCATGAGAGCTGAATTTAAGAGTTGTAAAGGGTGTCATGAGGAAAAGAACTGCTCCTCTTGTTTGACTAAAAAGGGAAGAATCGGGAACAATGGGGAGAAGTCTCAAAGAGGCAAATTTATGCTTGATGTTAGAAAAATATTTCCTTGAGTTGCCCAAAAGCAGAATGGATAGCTTTGGTAGGAAATTAGATGCTCCTCACTAGGGATCCTAGGATCATAGGTTTAGAGCTGGAAGGAAAGGTTAAATAATTTGCCCGACTATTTATAAGTATTTGAGGTGGTGTTTGCACTCAAGTCCTCTTGACTTCAGGACCGGTGATCTCCCCAACAGACCATGTTGTCTCTTGGTTTTAAGTAGTTCGGATGACCACTTAGAGGTTGGGTTGGGGCTTGACCTCCGCTGTGGTACCTTCCAACTCTTAATTCTGTGTTTGTGTTTTATTATTGGTCGTTTGGGATTAATTTGCATTTGAATGGACCTGACTGTGAAGTCAAGCTTTCTCCCTTAGATACCACTTCCCTTCCCTTCTTTATATTTGCAGGTATACCTTATTGGTGGGCAAACCACCCTTTGAAACCTCCTGCTTAAAGGAGACCTACATCAGGATCAAGAAAAATGAATACAGCATTCCTAAGGTAGGCTGAGCTTCCACAGTGAACATTCCACTGATTGCAGGTTCTTCTGAGCGGGCTGTGGGGCGAGAGCTCCTGTGTCTGACATCTGTCTCATAGAAATGTGAAGGCTACATACATCTTTCATGTATGAATGATCCCTTCCAGGTGGTAACCTTACCTCAGAGTTTTATCCTTGCCCTTATTATTGCACTAGCTTCTTCTTTTTTTTTTTTTTTTTGGCTAGGCAATGGGGTTAAGTGACTTGCCCAAGGTCACAGAGCTAGTAAGTGTTATGTGTCTGAGGTCAGATTTGAACTCAGGTCCTCCTGAATCCAGGGCCGGTACTCTATCCATTGCGCCACCTAGCTGCCCCAGCACTAGCTTCTTAGTAGGTTTCCCTGTGTCTAGTCTCTCTTCTGTCTAATCCACTGTCTATACAGCTGCCAAATTGGTATTCCTAAAGCATAGACTTAACCATTTCACTTCCCTGTACCATAAGCCTTAGTAACTTCAAATTCCTTCTAGGATAAAGTAGTAAGTCCTTTGTTTGGAATTTTAAAGCCCTTCACAAGATACCTTATTGCACATTACACTCCAAATTGACCTGTCTGCTGTTCCCACATACAACAGTGTTCCATTTCTTGTTGTGTCCATGTCTTTGCACAGGCTGTCTGTCTATCCTCCATCCATTCTCTCCTCACCTCCACCACCTAGAATCCCTAGCTTCCTTCAGGGCTCAGCTCAAGTGCTGCTTTCTATGTGAAGTCAACCTTGATCTGCCAAGTGCTTGTGCTCTTCACTCTGGAAATTAACTAATTTTTATTTACATATATGTGTATGTATTTAAATTTATCTAGCTATGTTTGTGGTTTTTCCTCTCAGTAGATTGTAAGCTCCTGTAGGGCAGGGACTAGCACAATGCCTGGCACATAGTAGGTGTTAAATAAATGGCTGTAAAATGACTGAGCTGATGCCTGTTGTGTGTGTGTGTACATACATGTGTGTAGGTGCAAAAACATTTTGAGATTGAAGGAGGGCAGTTGGATAAGGGTATAGCTTTCAGAGTTCAGGTAGAAGTCTGGACCAGTTGCATAGATTTGATTTTTAGTTCATTTATGGCTAAGAACCTGTTTCTCAATTCTGTATTAATGTTTATAATAATTTACAATTATTTACAATTTATGATTGTTTACAACTATTTACAATTGTTAGAAAAGGTTTTGAGGTTTCTCTCCCCTCTGGATCCTGTTACAAAATATAAAATTGCATTAGTTGGGGAAAAAAAAAAAAACATCTATGTATTCTTTAAATGATGACTTGGGAATAATAGTATTCAGTTATGGTAGAGCTATAGGAAACACTTACCTTAAGCCTGAACTGTAAAATTTCCCCTCTAAACCTGGAGAAAATTTGAATTTTGAGGTCTTTTCAAGGCTTTGGGGGCACTAATTTGAAATGCTACCTAGAAGTAGCTACAAATAACTACCAACTAGGAATCCACACTTCTAAAAACTTTTCTTAACTATGTACATCCAAAGTGTGAAATCAAATTTAACCTAACCCTACTGTAATTCAAAAATTTGTTCTTTCCCCAACCCTACTCCCCTAAAAAACACAAACATTTACTGAAAGTACCAAGTCATGTCTATAGATGTGAAAATAAGACTTTTTGGGGCAGGTGGCATGTGCATATCGTAGTAGAATAGATTTATGAGCAAACAATAGGTAAACCTAACCAATATATTCATGTACCATTTCTCAGTGCAAGTCATCACTGTTTTTTTTTTAATTAACTAATTTTTAGTTTTCAGCATTCACTTTTATAAGATTTTGAGTTCTAAATTTCCCCCTCTCCTTTCCTTCCCCCTCCCCAAGACAGCATGCAATCTGATATACGCTATACATGTGCAATCATATTAACGTATTTCCACAGTAGTCATGTTGTGAAAGGAGAATCAGAACAAAAGGAAAAAACAGCGAGATAGAAAAAAACAAAAAAAAAATACAAAGAGAAAATAGTATGCTTCAATCTGCATTCAGACTCCATAATTCTTTCTCTGGATGTGGATTGCATTTTCTGTCATGAGTCTTTTGGAGTTGGCAAGTTATTGCTGTTAATGTTGCTTATACTCACCATGTATTTTTCGTGTCTCTGACATCCTGGCAGTCCGTGATTTGTTAGCTATATAGCATTAGCAGGTAGTACATTGGATGAGAGGGCTGAGCTTGGAGTCAGGTAGTGTAAACTTGGGTTCAAATCCTGATTTAGTCACCTTGGGCAAATCACTTAACTCTCTCAACCTCAGTCTCTTCATCTGTTAATGAAGAGGTTGGATTTGGTCCCTTCAAGCTCTAAATCTATGATCTTATGAATTTTGATGTTGGAGATGATTTATCCCACCACTGACCCCCTCCATAGTGAGCAGTTTAGGATTATTGAGCATCTGTGATACTCAAATGGACCTGGGGTGATATCCAATATAACTTGGACTCTGATAAACACTTTATTGCCTTTGGATGGAACCAGGTAAGTCTGGCCAGGGGCCAGAAATGGGGCCATTTTTTTTTTTTTTTTTTTTTTTTTTTTTTGGTGAGGCAGTTGAGGTTAAGTGACTTGCCCAGAGTCACACAGGTAGTAAGTGCTGTGTCTGAGGTCACATTTGAACTCGGGTCCTTCTGACTCTAGAGCTGGTGCTGTCTCTACTGTGCCATCTAGCTGCCCCCAGGGGCCAAGTATTTTCATGTGCACAAGAAATGAAATGAAATTCCTTATCCCTTAGCAGAGGAGGATTTCCTCCATGAAGCACTGGCCTCCCAGCCTTTCTGTCTTTATCTCCATGAGGGATATCAGATTTCATTCTGCACAACTTGTAAGCTTCTTTGGGCCACAGATAGGTTAGAATAGACACAGACTGATGATGGTTGGTTGCCGTGGGTCATGTGACAAACAGGAGAGCGTGCACAGTGGCAACCCTACGTTTTTCTCATCCTTTGGCGGACCGCAAGGGGCTTGCAGGCCGTATGTTGTGAGGGCTGCTGTAGATAGCAGGGATGGGTTTCCCTAATCTAGTTCAAAGTTCTTTGAGTATATTCTGTTATGCCTTCTGTTAGCAAGGAGGGTGCTGAGCCAGCTGTGCATTTGCTGCTGAGGGAGTTTCAATCGTAGAAAAAATAGCAGGAAAAGAAGGGAAGGAGATCCATGGAGACATGGAAAGGCCCAGGCCTGGCTTGGGGAGAGGAGAGGAGAGATCCTTTGTGATCACAGCTTAGCAGGGGAAGGGAAGGGGATCCATGGAGACATTATGGAAAGGCCCAGGCCTGATCTGGGGAGAGGAGAGGCGAGATCCTTTGTGATCACAGCTTAGCAGGAGAAGGGAAGGGGATCCATGGAGGCATTATGGAAAGGCCCAGGCCTGACCTGGGGAGAGGAGAGATCCTTTGTGATCACAGCTTAACAGGGGAAGGGAAGGGGATCCATGGAGGCATTATGGAAAGGCCCAGGCCTGGCCTGGGGAGAGGAGAGATCCTTTGTGATCACAGCTTAGTAGGAGAAGGGAAGGGGATCCATGGAGGCATTATGGAAAGGCCCAGGCCTGGCCTGGGGAGAGGAGAGGAGAGATCCTTTGTGATCACAGCTTTCCCTCCATCTCTCTGGGGCTGTCTTAACTTAGCTCATGGTCATAGCTAAAATGTATAAAATGGCTTTCTAACTAACTCTGGTGATTGTATGCACAAGATCATGATCCTTTTTAAGATGGGGGAGAGTGATCCTAGCAAAACATCAAATGAGAGCGTCCAGGTTTCTGTGTACTGGTGACCTAGACGGAGTTGGTCCAGTTGTCAGTTGCCTGCTACTGCTAACCCTTTAGGCATGGAGGTGGACTTGGAGTCTGCAAGACCTGAGTTCAAATCCTTCTGCAGACACTCACTAGCTGTGTGACTTTGGGCAAGTCCTTAACTTTTCTGGGCTTCAGTTTCTTCATCTGTAAAGTGAGAATTATGGTAGCACTTAATCCACAGGATTGTTGGGGGAATCAAGGGATATGGGCTAGACCTGTGATTTTATATAGGGATCCCTATATGAGGGGACTCTATCAATGCAGGTCAGCAGCTTCTGTGCAACTTATATCTTTGGGAGAGTGGCTTAGAGCAATGGAGGTTAAATGAGTTACACACAGCCAGGTGTGTTAGGGGCAGCACTCATCCCAGGTCTTCTGGCTCTGGGGCCAGCTTTCTGTCTACCATTCCAACACTACCTCTGTGAGCTTCAAGTGAAATAATATATGTAAATATGTATATATGTAAAATGTATGAAAACCTTGAAGTGCTATGTAAATATTAGCTGTTAATAGTTTTCATCTCTGATTCATAGTTGTCTTCTCCCTTGGGTTTTAGCACATCAACCCTGTGGCTGCCTCCCTCATCCAGAAGATGCTTCGATCTGACCCTGCCTCCCGCCCCACCATTAATGAGCTTCTCAATGACGAGTTCTTTTCTTCAGGCTACATCCCTTCCCGGCTTCCCACTACTTGTCTCACAATCCCACCTAGGTTCTCCATTGCACCCAACAGTGTGGAATCTGGAGGCCGGAAGCCTCTCACAGCTCTCAATAAAGGTACAGCTAAGTGTATAGGCCAGACCTTGGGCCCTGGTGCCTTTTGGTCACCCAACCCCTAGGGTGTTTGCTACCTCTCAAAGAAGGTACTAGATGAATGAAGCCTTGAAAATGAACAAAATTTCTCAGCCCACAGACCTTTTTTAGTTTTTATGAACCCAACCCCACCCTGACCCTCAAGGTGACGTGTTTGAACAGGGCAGAGGTGGGGAACAGCTAGTGCTGGCCAAATAATCTCTCTGCCCTTTCCAAGAAGAGGAGACTGACCTGAGGTCAACCTTGAAGTACAAGGCTAGCATTTAGGTGGGAGGTGGTACCTAGATCAGCTGGCAGGGTTACTACTGTACTACGGCATCTAAATTGGCCCTTAATTCCAGGTCCTACAGGGGATGTTTGCCCTCAGAATCACCTAGCCTAGAAGAGTCACTTTCCACTGACTCTAAGCTTGGATAAATCAAACTGTCACTCACCATTCAGGGGTAACTGCACAGTTAACCTGGAGAATTATAAAAATAAGAGTAAGTCACTGTTTTGAAGTGTAGCTAGTATGAAAGTGATGAAACTCCCTTTTCAAATTCAATTCTCTCGACGGTGTCATTTAGAAAAGATTATACATAACTACTTGTTGGGAGTCATTAGAAAGGATTTCTATAAAGCAAGAGTTCCTAATTTTTTTTTATCATGGACCCCTTTGACAGTCTGGTGAAGCCTATGGGCTCCATCTCAGAATAATGTTTTTAAATGCATAAAGTAAAATACTTGGGATTACAAAGTAAATCAGTTATTTTGAAACACAGTCATCAAGATATTTTCTTGAAAAAAATGTCACAGAGCCCAGGTTAGAAAAATATAGTTTGGACTAATTCGACCCCTAAGGGTTGTTCCAACTACAGGTTGGTGAAAAATGCTGTTTGGTTCAATCAGATACCCAGAATATTCCATTACTAGGAATTACTAAGTGAAATGATTAAAGCAAAAATTCATTTAAAGTATATAACATTCTTTACAACTCGAGAGTAGGGGAAGTACATACTACATTTTAACACAGTGATTTGACAACTTTTTTGACCATCTTCTAGAGTGACTATATCTGAACACTAAAACAGTTGGAGAGAGGGGGAGAATTTCCATCAACTGGTACTATGATAGCAACTAATAGCAGAGAGACCTTATTTTAAAAGCTTATTTAACTCATTTACATATAATATACTGGGTTAACAAGCTAAATATCTGGTAGAATAGCTATTCAGGTCTCAGTTTCAGAGAAAGGAAGTGATTTTGGGGAAATCCTCTTTTTGTGTGGCTGAAATTGGGGACCTTACCCCTTATTTTTTCCTTTAAATATTTCCCAGTTACATGCGAAAAAAAATTTTAACACTTATTTTAAAAATTTTGAGTTTCAAATTATCTCCTTCCCTACCATCCCTCCCTTGTCCAGAAGGCAAGCAATTTGATATAGATTTTACCTATGAAGTCATGTAAAGCATGTTTCCATATTAGCCACGTTGCAAAAGAAAACACACACACACACACACACACACACAAAAATAGAGTAAGAAAATGGTATACTTCAATCTGCATTCAGAGTTCATCATTGTCTTGATTAGAGTAGCTAAGCCTTTCTTTTTTATATATAATTAATTAATTATTTTTAGTTTTCAACATTCACTTCCATAAGATTTTGAGTTTTAAATTTTTCTCTCCCTTCCTCTCCTCCGTCTTCCCCAAGATGGCATGTAATCTGATACAGGACCTACTGCCTGCTTGCAATATTTTTCTCCTTGACCTGGGAACTCTGGAATTTGGCTACAATATTCCTAGGAGTTTTCCTTTGGGGATCTCCTTTAGGAGGAGATCGATGGATTCTTTCAATTTCTATTTTGCCCTCTGGTTCTAAAATATCAGGGCAGTTTTCCTTGATGATTTTTTGAAAGATGATGTCTAGGCTCTTTTTTTGATCATGGCTTTCAGATAGTTGAGTAATTTTTAAATGATCTCTCCTGGTCAGTTGTTTTTACAATGAGATTTTTCATAGTCTTCTATTTTTTCATTCTTTTGTTTTTTTTTTTTTAATAATTTCTTGATTTCTCATAGAGTCATGAACTTCTACTTGCTCCATTCTAATTTTTAAGGAATTATTTTCTTCAGTGAGCTTTTTGACTTCCTTTTTCATTTGGTCAATTCTGCTTTTTTCCTTCTTGGCTTTTTGGATCTCTTTTGCCATTTGGGTTAGTCTATTTAAGGTGTTATTTTCTTCAGTATTTTTTTGGGGGGGGTCTCCTTTAGCAAACTATTGACTCATTTTTCATGATTTTCTTGCATCACATTTCTCTTCCCAGTTTTTCCTCTACTTCTCTTACTTGTTTCTCAAAATCCTTTTTGAGCTCTTCCATGGCCCGGGACTGATTCATATTTTTCTTGGAGGCTTTAGATGTGGGAGCTTTGACTTTGTTGTCTTCTTCTGATTGTATGTTTTGATCTTCTTTGTCACCAAAGAAAGATTCTATAGTCTGACTTTTTTTGCACAGTTTGCTTATGATGCCAGCCAATTACTTGAGTTATAAACTCTTTGTTAAGGTAGGGGTCTGCTTCCAGTGTGGAGAATGTACTGTCCCATACTTTGGGGGTTTTGTGCAGCTGTTTTCAGAGATACTTCTAGGGATCTGTACATTTTCAGTTCTTCCAAGGTGGTACGATCAGGGGTGAAGTGTTTACTCCTTTCCTGGCCTGTGCCCTGGTCTATGAGTGACCACAAGTACTCTTTTCTGCCTTGGAACTGTGAGGAGGATTCCCTCTCCACCGCCACTACGAGCTCCACCACTATGAGCTCCACCACCCCAGTGCTCCTCCTTGCCCCAGGACCGCAACGTAGGCCCCACTTAGACATTCACATTAAGCATATTTTCACATTAGTCAAGATGTAAAGAAGAATTAGAACTAATGGGTGGAACCACGAGAAAGAAGAAACAAAACAACAAAAGGAGAGCAAATAGTGTGCTTCCATCTGCATTTAGATTCCATAGTTCTTTCTTTGAATGTGGATAGCAATTTCCATTGTGAGTCTTTTGGAGTTGCCTTAGATTCTTGCATTTCTGTGAAGAGCCAAGTCTATCAAAATCAGTCATCGCACAATGTGGGTGTTACTGTGTACAATGTTCTTCTGGCTCTACTCCTTTCATTCAGCATCAGTTCATATAAATCTTCCCACATTTTTCTGAAGTCTGCCTGCTCGTCATTTCTTATAGCACAATAGCATTCCATTACATTCATATATCACAACTTGTTCAACCATTCCCTAATTGATGGACATCCTCTCAAATTCCAGTTCTTTGCAACCACAAAAAGGGCTGCTATAAATATTTTTGTATATATGGGTCCTTTCCCCATTTTTGTTATCTCTTTGGGATACAACCCTAGAAGTGGTATTGCTGGGTCCAAGGGTATGCACAATTTTATAGCCCTTTGGGCATAGTTCCAAATTGCTCTCCAGAATGGTTGGATCAGTTCACAACTCCACCAATAATGCATTAGTGTTCCAGTTTTTCCATATCTTCTCCAATATTTATCATTTTCCTATTTTGTTGTGTTAGCCCATCTGATAGGTGTGCTGTGGTACCTCAGAGTTGTTTTGATTTGCATTTCTCTAATCAGTAGTGATTTAGAACATTTTTTCATATGACTATAGATAGCTTTAATTTCTTCCTTTGAAAACTTGCTGTTCATATCCTTTGACCATTTATCAATTGGGAAATGACTTGTATTCTTATGAATTTGACTCAGTTTTCTATATATTTTAGAAATGAGGCCTTTATCAGAGACAATGGCTGTAAAAATTGTTTCCCAGCTTTCTACTTCCCTTCTAATCTTAGTTGCATTGGCTTTGTGCAAAATATTTTCAATTTAGCGTAATCAAAGTCATCCATAATGTCCTCTGTCTTTTGTTTGGTCAGTAGCTAAGCCTTTCACAGTTGATCATCCTTACAATATTGCTGTCAGTGTGCACAACATTCTTCTGGGTCTGCTCAATTCACTTTGCATCAATTCATTTAAGTCTTCCCAGGTTTTTCTGAAACCATCCTGCTCGTCATTTCTACTAGTACAATAGTATTCCATGACAGTCATATACCATAGCTTGTTTAACCATTCCCCAGTTGATGGGTATCATATCACTTTTTAATTCTTTGCCATAAGAATAAGATTTGCCATAAATATTTGTGTATAAATAGATCCTTTTCCCTTTTCTTTGCTCTCTTTGGGATGCAGATCTAGTAGTGGTATTTTTGGGTTAAAAGGTATGCACAATTTTATAGCCCTTTGGGCATAGTTCTAAATTGTTCTCCAGAATTGTTGGACTAGTTCACAATTCCATCGACAGTACATTAGTGTCCCATTTTTTACACATCCCTTCCAAGCATCTGTCATTTTCCTTTTCTGTCATGTTAGTCAATGTGATAGGTGTGACGTGGTATCTCAGAGTTCTTTTAATTTGCATTTATCTAATCAGTAGTGATTTAGAGTGTTTTTTCATGTGACTGTTGATAGCTCTGAAAACTGCCTTTGACTATTTATCAACTAGGGAATGATCTTATTTTTATAAATTTGGCTCTGTCACCTATATATTTGAAAAAATAGGCCTTTATCAGAGAAACTTGCTATAAAGAATTTCCCTCAGTTTTCTGCTTTTTTTTCTAATTTTTGCTGTATTAGTTTGTTTATGAGAAACCTTTTTAATGTAATCAAAATCATCCTTTTTACATTCTGTGATACTTTTTCACTTGTTTGGCTATAAATTCTTCTCTTATCCGTAGATCTGAAGAGTACATTTTTCTTTGCTCCCCTAGTTTACTTGTGATATTTCCTTTTATATTTAAATAATTTATCCATTTTTACCTTATTTTGGTATATGGTATGAAATGCCAGTCCATGCGTAGTTTCTGCCTACCTACTTCCCAGTTTTTCTTGTAATTTTTGTCAAATGGTGAGTTCTTACTCCAAAAGCTTGGTTCTTTAGGCTTAATTGATTCCACTGATCCACCATTTCTTAGCCAGTACCAGATTGTTTTGATGATTACTGCTCTGTAATATAGTTTAAAATCTGGAACTGCTAGGCCACTTTCCTTTACATTTTTTTCCCCATTGATTCTGTTGATATTCTTGACCTTTTCTTCTTCCAGAATAATTTTGTTACTATTTTTTCTAGCTGTACAAAATAATTCTTTGGTGGTTGGATTGGTTATGGCACTGAATAACTAAATTAATTTATGTAGTATTGTCAATTTTGTTATGTTGGCTTGGCCTAACCATAAGCAATTAATATTTCTCCAGTTGTTTAGATCTGTCTTTATTTCTGTGAAAAGTGTTTTGTAATTGTTCAAATAATCCCTGGGTTTGTCCTGGCAGTTAAGACTCCCAAGTATTTTATGTTGTATATCATTATTTTAAATGGAATTTCTTTTTCTATCTCTTGCTGTTGGGTTTTGTTGGTAGTGTATAGAAGTGCTGATGATTTATGTGGATTTATTTTGTATTCTGCAACTTTCTTGAAGCTGGTCATTTCAACAGTCGTTGATTAGTTGGCTCTCTAGAGTTATCTAAGTATATGCCACATGCCATCTATAGAGTGATAGTTTTGTTTTTTTGTTGCCTATTTTTATTCCTTCAATATATTTTTCTTATCTTATTGCTATAGCTAGCAGTTCTAGTATGATATTGAATATTAGTGGTGATAATGGACATCCTTGCTTCACTCCTGATCTCAATGAGAAAGCTTCAAGTTTATCTCCATGACAGAAAAAGCTTGTTCTTGCTTTTAAATAGGTACTACTTATCATTTTAAGAAAGGTTCCATTGATACCTATGTTTTGTAATATTTTTAACAGGAATGAGTATTATACATTGTCAAATGCTTTTTCTGCATTTATTGAAATAATATGATTTTTGTTTTATTTATTATGTATATGGCCAGTTATACTAATAGTTTTCCTAATAGTGAAGCCCTGCATTCCTGGTATAAATCCCAAATGGTCATAGTACATGATTTTTGTTATATATTACTGTAATCTCCTTATTTGAAATTTTCACACTGATATTCATTAAGGAAATTTGTCTATAATTTTCTTTCTGTGTTTTTCCTCTCCATGGTTTAGGTATCAAAACCACATTTATGTCATAAAAGAAATTTGATAGTTTTTATTTATTTTTATTTTTTATTGACAATTTTTCTGTTTGCTCCAGTCTTATCACCAGGAATGCTTGAAAATTTTCTATTTTATTAAATGTCCATTTTTTCACCATGATGGATTATACTCAGTTTTGCTGGGTAGGTTATTTTTGGATGTAATTCTTGCTTTTTTGCCTTCCATGATGTCATATTCCAAGCCCTCTGCTCCTTTAATGTAGGAGCTGCTACGTCTTGTACGATCCTGACTCTGGCTCCATGGCTGTTTGAAATATTTTTTCTTTGACCTGGGAACTTTGAAATTTGGCTACAATATTACCAGAAATTTTCATTTTGGGATATCTTTCAGGTAGTGATTGGTGGATTCTTTCATTTTCTGTTTTACCCTGTGGTTTGAGGATCTCAGTTGGGGCAGTTTTCCTTGACAGTTTCTTGAAACTATGATGTCTAGGCTCTTTATTTGATCATAACTTTCAGGTAATCCAATAATTCTTTTTTTTTTTTTTTTTGCCTTTTTGGTGAGGCAGTCAGGGTTAAGTGACTTGCATAGGGTCACACAGCTAGTGTCATGTGTCTGAGGCTGGATTTGAATTTAGGTGCTCCTGACTCCAAGGCTGGAGTTTATCCACTGCGCCACCTAGCTGCCCCTAATCCAATAATTCTTAAATTATCTCTCTTTGATTTATTTTCCATGTCAATTATTTTTCCAGTGAGATAGTTCACATTTTCTATTTTTTCGTTCTTTTGACTTTGATTGTTTCTTGATGTCTCATGGAGTCATTAGTTTCTACGTGCTCAATTTGATTTTTAAGGAATTATTTTCTTCAGTGAGCTTTTCTACTTTTTCTATTTGATCAATTCTACTTTTTAAGGAGTTATTTTCATCAGTAAATTTTCATATCCCTTTTTTCATTTGGCCAATTTTGTTTTTTAAGGTGTTATTTTCTTTAGTATTTTTTGGTGCCTCTTTTACCAAGCTGTTGTCTTTTCATAATTTTCTTCCCTTGCTTTCATTCTTTACCTAATTTTTTCCTCTACCACTCATATTTGATTTCGAAAATAATTTTTTAGTTTTCCCTAGGAATTCTTTTTGGGTTTATGTCCAGTTCACATTTTTCTTTGTGGCTTTACATGTAGCTGTTTTGGCTTCATTGTCTTCTGAATTTGTGCCTTAATCTTTCCTGTCACTATAGTAGATTTTGGTGGTCAGGTTCTTTGTTGTTGTTGTTGTTTGCTTATTTTTCCACCCTATTTCTTGATTTGGAACTTAATGTTAGGCTCTATTCTGGGTGGGAGGAGGGGGCGCTGCCTCAAGCTTTAAGCCTTTTCAAACTGCTGTTTTCAGAGCTAGTTCTGAAGGTTTGGAAGTTTTCGTTGCTTCCAAGGTGGTGTGATTATTTCTGACTTGAGAACTCCTAAAGTTGCTGCTGCTTCTGTCACCACCATGTAATCCCACCACTGATGTTTCTTCCACATGGGGTCTGGATCAATCTTCTCATGTCACAGATTCTTTTCAACCTCCTATATTGTCTTGGGCTAGAAGAATGTCTCACTCTGATCTTTTGTTGACTCTGCCACTGCAGAGTTCGATTTGAGGCATTATTTTAAAGTTATTTGGAGGGGAATGTTAGGACAACTCAGCTGAGCCTTCCACCTTGGTTCCCTTGGTTCCCCATTTTGTGAAAGAAGGAGGTCAAATGGATGCCTCCTTTTGGCATGCTGGGGGAGGTAAGGCTGGGAGGAACTTGACCTTCTTTGCCTCCTGCTATAGCTAGGAGTAGAGGGCAAAGATTGAGTGAAGCAGCAGCTGGACCATGCTGCTAGGCCTCATCTGAATCCTTTGGGTATTCTGAGAACACCCAACTGTTTGTTGAGCCTATTGCTAGTCTGGTAAACTCTTCTGTCCCCATTCTATTCTTTCCCCAGGAATGGATAACCCTGCCCCTGAGCAGCCCCCTGAAAAAGAAGTGATAGTTCAGGAACCAAATGGTCCTGCTGACTGCTACCTCTCGGATATGCTACAGCAACTGCTCAGTGTCAATGCAGCAAAGCCTTCTGATCGGAGATTGGTGAGGCAAGGTGGGTCTTATCTCAAGGCAGGGTGTGGGTGCTGTAGTTTGGGAGAAAGGGAAGATTCCCTCCAAGCTACACCCCAACGTGCAGGGCTTTTTATTGTGTTTCCAAATTGGGAGGGAAAGAGAATTGATCTCCATTTGAAGGACTATAAAGTAGATGAAATATTGGACTTACTTTTCCTCGGGTGCTTGGGATTGGATAGATGAAATTTAGGAGGCAGATTTTGCCTTTGTTGTAAGAGAACTTGGAGCTGTCCAGTAATGAAAAGGGCTGCTGTAGGAGGTAGTGAGCTACTGCATTTGGAATTATTCCAGCAGAGGCTAGGTAACCACTTATAATGATGTTTTTAAAGGTATTCTTGTGTTGTTGGGGAAAGATTTAGACCAGAAGGTTTATAAATTCCCATTCACCTCTTGAGATTCTGTGACTTAATAATTTAATATTCTGCTTCCCTTCCAGAGGAGGCAGAGGACCCTGCCTGCATTCCCATTTTCTGGGTCAGCAAATGGGTGGACTATTCAGACAAGTATGGCCTCGGTAGGTTCCAACCATATACTCCTTTTGGCTCACTCAGTCAGGGGTGAAAAGAAAGTTCCTCATCTGTAAAAGACAGGGTTAGACTGGATGAATCTGAGGACTACCTTCCTCAGAGGAGAGGTTCCTGTCTTGGAACCTCTCCTCTCAGGGACTGCTATGCATTCTGGCCCAAAAGCCATTTCACTGAGTTGGGATGGGTTGGAAAGTGAATGAGATGCTAGCTTTGACTGGAGTGCCCCTCAGAGGTGGTCTTTCTCATATTCTACCATTGGGCTCATGCAGACTTGGGTGCCCCTGGATGGTTAGATGGGCATTGTGTAAAAGCTTCCATAATGTCACATGGCACAGAGAGAGGCCTGTAGAGTTCCATGCTGCTCAGTTATTGACCTGATCTGTACCTGCATCTGACTGTCCCTTTCCCACCTAGGATACCAGCTCTGTGATAACAGTGTGGGTGTGTTGTTCAATGACTCCACTCGGCTCATTCTGTATAATGATGGGGATAGTTTGCAATACATCGAGCAAAATGGCTCAGAATCCTACCTCACTGTGCGTTCCTATCCTTCCTCGCTGACCAAAAAGGTGAGGCCAAAAAATAAGTTGGCAGCTTCCCCAAAAGCTGCTCTGGCCTGAAACCACAGGGTTTGTCTGGGTTAAGAGCTGGGGGGGCGGTGACCATTCTTGGGGAGGTAGGTGGCATTTTGTTTGGAGTTTCTTATTGTTCTGCTGACTTCAAGGGAATTGTCCCCTCTGGCCCAGAAAGAACCTGGTGCTCTAGAGATTTAGATTGTGGGCTTTAAGCATCACTCCTTTCCTTCCCCCACTTAGATTACTCTCCTCAAGTATTTCCGCAATTACATGAGTGAGCACTTGCTGAAGGCTGGTGCTAATATCACCCCAAGAGAAGGTGATGAGCTGGCTCGACTTCCCTACTTGCGTACCTGGTTCCGCACACGCAGTGCCATTATCCTACACCTCAGCAATGGCACTGTACAAATCAACTTTTTCCAGGTGAGCTCTCAAGTGTTGGGGTGGGTCAGGAGATCTGGAAGGGGGGTGGTGTGCCACTACAAAGGCCCAGATTAGGTGGAGGCACCATGGGTCCAGAGGCAAAGGATCTTAGTTTAAATCTTGGGTCTCATTTTCTCTACTCCTATGGCTATGATCAAATTGCTTAACTTCTCCAGGCCTGTTTTCTCATCTATAAAGTAAGGTTTTGGATTAGACAGCTGGGATTCTTTGCCAGCTCAAGAGTCATTGATCCTCAGAGCTCACCTTTGGCTCTTGGCCTGTCTTCCCACCTTTCTAGGACCATACGAAGCTGATACTCTGCCCATTGATGGCGGCTGTGACTTACATTGATGAGAAGCGGGACTTCCGAACATACAAGCTCAGCCTTCTGGAAGAGCATGGTTGCTGTAAGGAGTTGGCCAGCCGCCTGCGCTATGCACGTACCATGGTGGACAAATTGCTTAGTTCTAGGTCAGCCTCAGCCCGCCTTAAGTCTTCCACGTAGGCTGCCTGAGACTTTGTTTGCTTCTTAGCCTGGCTCCTTTTCTCCCCACAGGTGCTTGGGCCCTGAGCTCTGTGGATGACTCCCCCTGCCCCCAGCCTTATTTCTTAATGTGTCCTTGCCTGGCCTGGATGGATCTGTCCCCATCCCACCCTACCAAAAAAAGGAGAAACAAGAAAAAACTTGGAATAGTAACCTTGACTCCCTCCCTTCCCTGTCTTTGTGCTATAGGGGAGGGAAAGTTCATGTGTAACTTATTTGTACATGGTGGTGTGTCTTAGGACTCCTTGTTCTCCTCCTTGAACTGTACAGAAATTTTTTTTAAAGGAACTCTGGCCCCTTTGGCTTTGTAAACATTAAACATTAATTTGCAAGTACTCAAGTTTTGTATGTAATGTGCTCCTGGGGTGTTAGGGCTATCCCTGAGGGTGTGTATTGGGGGAGGGGCAGATAAGGGGGTAAAACTAGGGAGCTTTCACTGTGGACAGCCTCAGGTAACTGAGTCCAGTGGGTTCGTCCATGTGGGCCTGTCCATGTCCTGCTGCTTCCCCCATAGTCACTCCACACCACCGGCCCAGGCTATGGGGTAGAGTTTTATTTGTAGCTGGATACCAGTCACTGATGATTATACTCCAGAAGTGGAGAGAAGGGAATCTGGACCAAGGATACCTGTAACAGACCAGCTCCCAATACCCAATCCTCCCTGCCTGTGGGAGAGAGGCAACACGGCATATTAGGTAGAGTGTAAGAGAGTCAGGAAGATCTGAATTCCCCAAGTCCCATCTCTGACATGAACTGTACGTTTTTGAGCCTTAACTTCTAATTTATAAAATGGGGATGCTAGCTCTGGTGTGTAGTCCTTGCCTCACAATGGTGTTGTAAGGTTCAAATGAGAAGTCACATGGTTATTAAGGGGCTATCTCGCAGTATGCTGGAGCTGAGAGGAAGCCAAGGGGGAGGTACACCTCAGCTAGGAAGAGACAAATGAGGAATCCCCCAAGCCAAGCTGAGAGAAGTGAGCTCTTGGTATGGTCGGACTCTGGTTCATGCATTTTGGATCTGGGAGACTCCCAGAACTAGAGTGATTTAGTGCCTTGGTGTGGTGGCTATTGGACCACACACTGGTGTGCTCCTCTCACCCCATCTCCTTCTTTGGCAGATAGGTCTTTCATAGGGCTGATCTCATCAGCGCCCTACTTGGCTGCTTCCTCTACAGTCTAGGGCCTTTTCTTTTTCATTCCCCATGCCCTCTGTCCTATAGTAGGGCCGGAAAAGACTCTCGGACGCACAGCTGCCCATGGCCTTGTGTGTGTGCAGCAGCAGGTGGGGAAAGCGGGATGTGAAGTATTGGACAAACTCCTCGGGCACCTGGCCAAGTGCCTGCCTCACCTCCATGGGCAGCTCCTGGTAGTGGTGTCTCTGTGGGGGAAGAAAAGGAAGACCCAGGCTCAGCCAGGGCCCTTAAACTGAAGAGAGGCCCTGTAACTGGCGACTCTAGCCTCCTCCCACCCCAGACCCCTTCCTAGGGATCCAGTGAAAACCCATACCTTGTTTCTCATGGCTCGCAAAAGATCACGAACAGATGTCCCTTTGTATGATCGGAACTTTCTCAGGTCTGAGAGAGGTGGAAAGGAGACATGGGAATTAATATGGGGTTCAAGTCTAAAGAAAAGTGGAGGCTCTGATTCTTAGAATCTAGCCAATAGCCCATAGATGCTCAGATTCCTTAAGAGTCTAGCTAATATGGCGAATCTTCAATAAACCTTGTATTTGGCTGCAAGAAGGCTTGGGTTGAATTCTTTCGGGCAGGACCCTTGTGTTGTGATTTTGGGGTCCCAGGACCCCTGAACCCCTAAACCGCATCATTTTGGTGACCCATACAGGGAAACTGCCTAACCCTGAGTTCTTCTGCAGCCAAGACTGGAAGGTATGTAAACCTCCTCTCCCTCCCTTTCTTGCTCTGCAGTTGAGGTTGCTCTCCAAGCACCAAGGCTTGGAGGTGCTTTTTGGGCAGACAGTTATGAGGCTGTCTTGCACTCAGCCTGACGCCCTCAGGCTCTCGATCCACTGGGTTGGTTGAAGGCCATGGACCTGGGTACACTTTCTGCAGTATAGAGGACAAGGATGGATGCCTTTCCGGAAGTGTATGCTTAATTCTGTTAATTCCCTCAGCGCTAGGGAATTGGGGAAAACTGCAGTTGCTTTTTGATTCCCTGAGGCTTACTTACTCCCTTCCCTCTGCACCTCTGAATCCTCCTTCATGGAGGTTACAGGGCAAGTTAGAACAGCTAAAAATATCTTGGCATATTCTGGAGGTTTTGTGATTGGTCATTAAGGAGTTTAGAACTTCTCCTTACAACCTTGGTCACTCCTTTCTCCCACTCCCTTCCCTTGAGTCAAGAGGGTATCTGTTAACCCCTCTCATAGGAGAAGAGAGTTTCATCCTTTACCCCTCACTTTTGATTACACCCTCCCCCACCTGGGAAAGGAAGGAGGGGGGAGAGGCAGCAGCTACAGCATGAGCCCCACTGGCAATGGCCTTGGGCTCTGGGGCAACCTTTGCCTGGAAGCATCACCCAAGTTCAGCACATCCTGCTCAAGGTAAAGAAACTGGCCTCTGAACTTGGGTTAAGCATGCTCTTTTAAATTTGTAGTTTTAACTGTTAACGATGAGATGTTGATTCTCTGTAAAGTAATTTGGAAGTGCATTTAACAAAACTGAAGTCACCTGATTGGTAATGGGTTTGTTTCAGGTTTTAAATTGGTGAACTTTCTGTATCAATTATGTCAAGCAACTTGTCATAATTTGGTTACCACTAAAATAATTTGGCTATTGTAGGTTATTGTTTTAATGTGTAAACTTGCTAAAAACTTGTTTGGGTTTTATATAGAAGTCTCTAATGATTGGCTTTTTACACCAGGACAAATTTAAGTTTGAGATGTAAATCCTGGAAAAGTTTCCTAAGCTGTGATTAGTAAAACTTGCTGTTTGAGGTAAAAGCTCATAGGATTTCATTTTGAGTTGTCTGATGGGTCATAATCCATCGATAATCAATAATCCACTATCTGAGAGAAATGCCACAAGCTACTCAGAAAAGGTGATACTGGTGGGAAGTATTTAGCCTCAGTCTAAGATGGGATCCTCCTGGTTCAGTTTCCCCATTATGTTCCTTTGAAAGGGAATGTTACCCACCTGGCTATTCCTGAGTCTGGCTATGAGGTCGATTTGATACTGCATGGTTGGAAAACTGAATTAGCTGAATCCAAACAAAGCTAAAGATGTTTTATCCTCTCAAAGTTGGGCCCTAAATCTAGTCCCTGCTTTATTTCTGGGCCCGGCAGTCTTTTCTGTCAGATTTGTGTCTTCCAGACTACAGGACATTCACCTACAGTTGGTAGCAAACAGCAAGTACCAGTCAATGTCCCTCCATCATTCCCTGGATGCAGCTTGTGCTCTGTTCCAGTCAACCTCCTCTTTGGGACTCCCTCGAGGCAGGGACAGCTCTACGCCCCTTGCCAGCAGGAAGCAGTTTCAGAAGCCGAGACCTTTGTCCCTTACACCAAAAGAATTTGGGTCCCATTTGTTTGAGGGGGGAATGATGGTGTTGGGATCTGGGCCTCAGAAAGGAAAAACCCTGGACTTTCCCACATGGCCAAATCTCTGGCGTTCTCCTGAGGCTATAATCCCATCAACTGGCCTTTCATTGTGGCTACACCCAATCTCCCTTCCTTTGTTTTACCTCCCTATGGCCCCGAGCCATTTCCCACCCTTAATCCTAGCTAGGCTCCATTCTCCCTTGGCCATGAGGTCCAGGTCCCAGGAGTTCTGTTCACCCCAGCTTACTAGCCCCTCCCACCCAGATCTCCTTAGGCCCTTCCTCCTGTCACCCCAAAACTACTTGGCCACTCCTAGATCCCTCCCACAGTCTTTCTGTATATAAGGTCCATCTTGTCTCTATTAAGAAGCTCTGATTCTTAGAATCTAGCCAATAGCCCATAGATGCTCAGATTCCTTAAGAGTCTAGCTAATATGGCGAATCTTCAATAAACCTTGTTTTTGGCTGCAAAAAAAAAAAAGTGGAGGGTAGGGAGGAGGAGAATCAACAAGAGAGGGAGGGATTAAGGTCTGCGCCAGCCTTTGCTGGGGGAATGGGAAGATATGTACAGTGGGGAGAGCCTCCAGGATAGGGCCTGGTCTAAGAGAACCAGCCTCAGTCTTCAATTCTCTGGATAAGAGAGGCCTGGCCAAGCAACCTGTCTGTCCAGTCCTCCCCACCTGACTGCAGCGGTCCGGAGATGTGACTGTGCCAGTTTTGTCTGACCACGATCTTGCCTCCAGCTTCCAGAGCTGTCACCAAAGGCCCCTCCGCAGCCTCCTTCTCCACTCGGTCACTGACATCCTAGAGCCAGCCAACAAAGAGTCATTGAGCCCCCCAGCCCTGGACATCGAGTCTAGTTGTCTTGCCTTTAAGAGATTGGCAGTCTAGTTGGGGAGACAAGAAGACCATGTATGGGCCAATCTAAGACCAATCCATAACTATGTAATGTTCTGCGTGGGATTTGGTGCTATGGAAGTTCAGGGAAGAGAGAAAGCAATGAGGCTTATAGAACTCAGGAACTGACACTTGGTAGAATCTGGATAAGTGTAGGAAGTAGAAGCTGGCATCTTGTTATGTGAGAAGTCATTCTGACCCAGCAATTATACTGCTGGGCATAACACCCAAGAAGATCAACCAGAAAGATCTTATGTGCAATAAAATATTCACAGCAGTATTAGGGTTAGTAGGAAAAACTGGGAGGGAGAAATGGGCACCTGTCAACTGGGCTGAGCATTCGCTCACATCCAGGGATCACAAGCTGAGCAATTTGGAGAACTAAGGGAAGATTTGTATGAACTGGTGCAGAGCGAGGAAGGAACCAAGAGAAAAGCACGTATAACTACGGCAATATAAACGATAACGATAAAAAGTGGTTGTAATGAGTTCTTTCCTGGAGAGCTTCTAATGAAGGACACCTTCCTCTCCGTGGAGAGGTGGGCACTGTGGAAGTGAAAGGTGGTTTATACTACTGGATGGATCAGCTGTGTGGGCCTTGCTTAAATGCTTTACTTTGTTGTAAGGACAGTGAGTGTTTCATGGGCCAGGGTAAAAAGGAAATGATTGGTCTGAGAACAAAGGATGACTAAAAAAACATCAGAGAAGTACAGGATTAAAGGTTCAGATATGAAACTGAACCTTGTATTCTGGCCACAGTTCAGAAGTTGGCCTGAATAGAGGTAAGGATTTATGTAGGGGAGGAGTGGGGTTTTAGTGGGGACAAATTGTGAAGGACCTTGCCATTTAATGGCTGGGAAAAGCTTCAGAGTTTGCAGCCAGCCTCATTCTCCTAGCTTTTCTTCTTCTTTATCCAAACCAAGATTCCTTTTCTTCTCTTCTTTCTGTCTCTTTTCTTTTTTTTTTGGAGGCAATTGGGGTTAAGTGACTTGCCCAGGATCACACAGCTAGTAAATGTCTGAGGCTGAATTTGAACTCTGGTCCTCCTGATTCCAGCCTTGGCATACCACCTAGCTATCCCTCCCCATTAATTTCAATGGTAAATATTTAGCTACAGAGATTAGTTTTTCTTTGTTCCAACCTTATGTCACCCCACCTCCCTTTTTTTTTAGATTTTAAGTTTTCCCTCTCCCACTTGTGGCTGGTGGGAAACAAATACTGCTCTATAAGATTGCCTCCAGCTCTAAACTTTGTTCTCTTACATTGATATGTATGTATTTTGGTTTTTGTTTTTTTTTTTTCCTAGCCAGTGAGAAAACATAGGACATTACACTGGGCCAAATGATTAGAGTTTGTCATAGACCAATGTCATTTTCAACATGGCTTTTCAGGCTGCTCACTTGTATGGGAGGATAGCAACCAGGCAATTAACAACCATACAAGGATGAGCTCAGGAGAGGCATCATGGGGTAGTGGATAGAGATCCCTGGACTTGGAATCAAGAAGACCTGGGTTCCCGTTTCACCTCAGACATTTGCTAGCTTTGTGATCCCATTCCCCTCACTTCACCTTTCCTCCTCTTGGAAAATGGGGATAATAACTGTGGGGTCTTCATGAGGATCAAATAACATGAGGGATGTAAGATGCATTGCAAATCTTAAAGTCCTAATAGAAAGGTCAGCTGTCACTGTACCTGCTCCTATTGCCTCTGACTCACCTTCCCCGTAGCCATCAACTTCTAAGGTGCTGGGCCAATGGGCCTGGAGCCACATGGCCTGTGAAAGCTGGGTTTCCAGTGATTGACCTTTTGTGACTAATGGGAGAGGAGAGGGGTACACTCTGGATGGTGGGGCATGAGACCTCACTTGCCCCTTCTTTAACCACTGAAGGCAAAAGACTACCCAGGGCAGCCTTGAGGGGCAAGAAGAGTCACAAAAGAACATTGGTTGGGGGTCAGGGAAGCTGTCCTAACTTTGCCCAAGTTGGCTTTCATTGGCTATTTATCAGCCTCAGGGCTTTTTAGCCCTGACTCAAAGGGATCCATCACTGAAGTTTCTGGTATGCTTTCTGGGGTACCCTCCCCCCAAATCCTGGCCTCAATCTATACCCATCTAGGAGTGGATTTGAAAGTGGGAGGATGTCACCCATTGCTGGTGATAGATAGGATCTGTGACAGACCAGAGGCTCTTGGAGAACCAGGTCTAGGAAAAAAAAAAAACCATCTTAAGATCTTCCCCAAGGATTTTTCTCTTCTCTTGAGTGTGGCTGCCTCTTTTACCTGGAAGAATTGAAGCTCCTTGGCTCTGCTCCAAAAGAAGGGATGAGCTAGCACAAATTGAGCTGAAGGCCGAAGCTGGGGCTGAGGGCTCAGCATGGCCTCCACCAGCTCTTTGGCGATTACCTTTTCTGTAGAAGGAATGGCTGTCAGTCATGCATGTTGGTCTTCCATTACTCTCCTTCCCAAGTCATCCTCCATCTCAAGCTCTCCATCCCCAGATCAACAAGATGGCAAAAGGAAGGAGGAAAGGGATCCCAGGGCTCTGGATGCAGTCTCCTCCCCTCCTAATGTTTCCTTACCATGTGTCTCCTCCTCAAAGTGGTCCATCTGAGCAGCCCCTGCAAGGATGTTGGCCTGTTGGTGCAGGCTGTTCCCAAATGGGTGCCCCCCACCTGAGAGAACGTAATAAAACACCAACCCTGCTGAGAAGATGTCCACGGCACAGGTCTGAAGACAAAAAGCAAGGATGAGAGAAGACAGGCCCTGGCTCCAGAAGGCCTTTCCAAGCTAATTCCACAACTGGTCCAGGTTTTCCCCTGAACCCACACATATAACTCTCCATTCTTTTCTCACTTCAAGGCTCTCATAGTCCTGAACTTGCCCCAAATAGATCTCTCATTTCTATGTATAATTCTGGATCAAGTACAATATGTGGAATAGACTGGACGTATTTTTCTGGGAGGAAAAATGGGAAAGTAGAAAAGATTGGAAAGACACTGTGAGAAAAGGAGCGGGAGAGATCCAGAAACCAGAGAGCAAAGATGATGTTAGAGGGGACTACTTTATCAAGTGTGACTTAAAAGACCTAAATCCGGGGCAGCTAGATGGCACAGCTGATAGAGCACCGGCCAGGAGGACCTGAGTTCAAATCCAGCCTCAGACCAAACACTTGACACTTACTAGCTGTGTGACCCTGGGCAAGTAAAACAACAACAACAACAACAAAAAAGACCTAAATCCGAATTTCCATTCATGGCCAGGCTTCTGACCTAGGGATCAATGGATCATCGATTTAAAGCAGGAAAAGATATTAGAGGTCATTGAGTCCAACCCTCCTCATCCTACAATGAGGAAACCAGGGCTTTGAGAAGATTTGTCAGTGGTGAGGAAGGAGAGAAAAGTCTGAGGCTTAAAGCATTTACACTAGCTGTTCCCCACTCCTGGAATTTTTCCTCTCCTCATCTCTGCCGCCTGGCTTCCTTTCAAGTCCCAGCTAAAATATCACCTTCAACAAAAAACCTTTCCCTAAGCCCCCTTAATCCTAATACCTTCCCTCTTGTTTATCTCTAGTTTATCCTGTATGTATCTTATTTGTACATGGTGCTTTGCATGTTGTTTCCCTATCAGGCTGTGAGCTTTCTGAGAGCAGGAACCGTCTTAGAGAGTTTAATATAGTGCCTGGCACATAGTAGGTACTTTACAAATGTTTGTTGACAAACTGACTGGCTTGGAACCCTGGGAATGGAAGAGACTCATGACCCTGAGACCAAAGGGGACTGGCTAAGCCCAGGACTCAGGGGTCCAGTGGTATAGCTCTTGATGATGTGGGAGTTTCTGCCCTCCCTCTTGACTGTAGGCAGGGTCAAGTCCACTCACGGGACTTTCTGGGGGTTCATCCTGTAGGAGCTCTGGGGCAATCCAGCCCTCAGTGCCTGGGATGCCAGAGCAGAGACTGAAGGTGTGACGTCCAGCAGGCAGCTTCTTACAGAGGCCAAAGTCAGAGAGGACAGCTCGGCTCCGGCCCTGGCTGTCAGGCCCCGTGATGAGGATGTTACAGGGCTTCAAGTCTCGGTGGACTGAGGAACACAGAGAAAGGTCGGCTAGGACTGAGGGGATCTGGTGAGGTTTGGTACTGTTGGACTGGGGTGAAGAGAGCAAAGTTCTGTTGGGGTTCAGAGGAGGGCAGAGAATATTGGTTCAGGTGGGGAGGGAGCAATGGGGCATTAACCCCCCACCCCCACCCCATACCTATGTTCAGAGAGTGTAGGTGGACCAAGCCGGAGGTCAGCTGGTATAACAGGGTCACTGGCTCAAGGCCCAAGCGATCTAGGGCAGGATTTTCAACATACTGAGGAGAGAGGCACCAAGGTGTTAAAACTGTTATCACCTTCCACATTTTTATTTCCCTTCAAAAAAATTTCATTGTTCATTTCCCCTTACGCTTTCCTCCCATGGGAACAAACCCTCTGGAACAAAGGAAAACATTGAAGCAAAATCAGGAGAGACAACAAGCAAACAAATATATCTAAAGCAAGCTATGTACAGGATAAATAGAAAATAATTAAAAGAGAGAAAATGTGGTATACTTTCAACAGAGAGTTAGCTTCTTGAGAGTAGAGACTTATATAAAGTCCTTATTTTTGTATCTTTAGTGTCCAGAACAGTACTTGACACATATCAAGCCATATCCACACCATACCATCTCCACTCAAACCATCATGTCCACCTCCACTAGAACTTTGAACTCCACTCCTGGAACCATCCTGGGCTCTGATAGGTCTATAGCTTTCATCTAATCTTGCTCAGATCCAGACCTCCAGCTCACATCATGGCCATCTTTACTCTGGGTGATGTATTATCCCTTTCCCTTTTCCAAGGCTCCCCTTCCTGTGTTGTTTTCCATTCTTAGACTATAAACTCCTTAAAGGCTTGCTAGCTTATATGCCCAGTGCCTCACACATGGTTAAATGCTTGGGAAATGTTGAATTTGCATGTGTATCATCTTATCTTTTCTTTCTTCAAAATGGTTCTCTTGAATTTCTTCCTTTCTCTTCCAGTCCTGGGACTCAATTTTCCATTCCTGAATTACTATAACAGCCTCTCGATTTTTTTTTCTTGCTTCTAATATCTCTTCCTTCAATCCTTCCTGCTGTTCAGAAATGATTTTTCTGTCCTTGTTAGAGGCAGGAAAGAGACTGTTGGGGTGAAGCAGTTTAGTAGTCTGGGAAGAAAAAAATCAGAAGGGTGGGCTTCTAATCTTGAACCTTCCACTTTACAGCCAAGTGATCAGAGGCAAGTCAGTTAACTTATCTGTGCCTCAGTTTTTGCAACTGTACACTAAGATAATATCATGTCTTCTCCACCTTACAGGGTTGTAGTAAAGGGTCGAATGAGATATGTGAAGGCA